ATACGAGAGATGTCCAGAAAGAGCTTAGGAATCTTTGACTGGTGCATTTTCTCACAAATTGGAGAATAGTTCATTCAATTTGGTTATTATTGATGAAGCTGCTTAGGCGCTTGAAAATGCACCCTAATATAAGTTATTTTTTTATTTTAATCATGCACTTTAATCTTAATTCTAAATTTTTAATTCACATGTAACTTTATCATATCAAAATTGAATTTACACATTTACTCTTAGAACCTTAAATTTTTAATTTATTTTAAAAATAATTTTATGATTCTCCTAACTAAATTTTAAATAAATATCATTCTAAAATTTCAAAACTATATAATAAAATTAATTTTAATATTTTACTATTTTTAGATATTTGATTTAGAAGTTTTAAATTTTAATTATGAATACTTCTAATCAATTTTAATAACATTAATGTTAAATGTTATTCACTTTTAACAGAATTTAAAAAATTAAATTAAATTATTAATGCATTAGAAAAAAAATTAATTTTAATCTTCAAAAATTATTTACGTTATGTTAAAAATTTAAAATTATTTTTTTATTGTTTTTGGTGTCTCTTATGTAAGAAAGAAAAATAGAACGCTAAAATAGAAATCTTCTGACAATTTTTCTCTTCTCTCCCTATTGTATAAGGAAATTGTACCATAGAATGGCTCTGAGAGAAATAGAGGGAACAAGGTCAGAAATCTTAAATGTGCAAAAAATAATGAAATAAAGCAGTATCTTAACATTATAAAGATGCAGCAGCTTGTGGATAACAGGGAAAGAACACGAACCAACGATTCCAACGATTCCAGCTTGAAACGTAAGGGACAGAACTTTCACAGAGATCTTGAATCCACTAAGGCCACCAATCCCAACGGACAAGATATCATAGACTGTGAGAGATTGATCTAAAGCAAACCAATAAATCTCAACATAATTTTAGTAAGGAGCAAGATTCTGAACCTGCTATGGTGTACCACAGGGGTCTCTGGAGTCCGCTGGCCAAATATCAATGACCTCTCATTTTCCCAGTCGAAAGCTGGTTCATAGGCAGGTAGGGGAGATTGGCCAAAACGCTAAACATGTCATCAAAATTAAGGAGGAAAAAGAGAGAAATCAACACCTCAAAATGACACATAAACAAATAAAACCAATAGCCAGATAAAAAAGTTAAAGGGCAAAACATGAGAAACATGAGAGTCTGCAAATTGGCGTCCAGAGGTACTTGGGGTGTCATCTGTCATAACCCAATTTTAATTGGGGCTAAATGATAAAAGTAAAAGTCAGTGGATTGTTTTTATAAAAGTATGAAACTTAAAGGGCTGAGGGGAAGAGATTGCAAAACTACGTCGCTTTGTTTGAAGGCTGAAAAAATAAAAAGGGGGGCTAGGGTTCAGATGAACGCAAGTCCCTCACTCTCACGGTTCTTCTTCTTGCCGTGAGTCACTCTCCCAAAATTCCCAAATTCTTTTGATTTATCTACAAATCCACTTGAAGTTTAGATAGATCACAACAACATTTTCGGATTTGAAGCCGTTATCAAGAGTCGCAGAGGAAGTTTTGAAGTCGATTCAAATTGGGAGTCCTGATATTTTAAAGGTATGAATCTAGCCTTAAAAGAGGGAAGATGTGTAAAGAATTAGATTAGTTTTAGAATTTCAAATTCTAATAGGGCTAGATTATTATCTGTAATTTTAGGGATTGAGATAAGAATTTAGAATTAGAAAAGGGTTTGGGTTCTCCCTGTTTCTGTATAAAAGGGGAAGCTTCGGCTTTGAGAAAGGAGGTCGAAAATTGGGGAAAAAATTGAGGGAGAAGGGGAGAAAATTGGTGAATCTCAAAAGGAATATTGGAGAGATCGAGAGGGAGAAAGAGAGCAAAGAAGAAAGGCAAATCAGAAACTTGTACTTGGGGTTCAAGAAATAAAGTCTTGATTTTCCTATTTTTCTGCAG